TGTAGTGCTCCCTGGCTTGTAGCCAGAGCCACTGCAGGAATGTGCCTGCATTTCTGGGATGTCTGTCAGGTTACAATACTGATTTAGCCTAGCCAGATTAGACTAACCTGCAAAGATTGAATCAATTCAGGTTCAGGCTTTTTTAATGTCTGTCCCTAGCCTAAGTGATGCCTTGGGACTAGCTTCAAATGGGCATTCAAAGAGACCCTAAAGGCTGTGGCACTGAAACCTCTTGTAAATCTGATACCCTCATACCAGGGCAGTCCATTCTTCTCCCCTGCCAGGGGTTCTGTGTCTCTGTTTCCCAGGTTTTCCCTATTTTCCTCTGCCTTATTGTGGGCTCCACATGTGGCACAATTTCCCCCTTCTTCACAGCATGGGCTTTATGTAATTCTCATTCCCTCTGCCATGTGCCAGGATGCCTCCACTTTTAAAAGTTATTGAGTTCAAGATAGACAGCAGAAGATGTATAGAAAATGTGTTTGAAAAGTATTCAGTTATATGGTCTGTAAGAACTAAATGAATTATTGGTTAGTTCCTATCAAGATTATTGGCCCTGATTATGAGATGTAGCTAACCTATGCTTGGTGCAGAATGAAAGCTGGGGAGAAAAAGACGACTATATGTCAACTTTGTACTTCCGATTCATGGGGTTGGTTCATCCTCTGATCTAAGCTGCATTACATTGGCTGCTCATCAATTTTAGTTTTGTACCAGATTCTGCAACAGCTGGAGAATGAAATAAATCATGTTTACCATTACTACTATCTGTGACACAATGCAATACAAGTCTTGCTTTTTTCAGTGTGGGTCAAGTAACTTGTGTGACTCCTAAAACATATTTCATGTGTAGTGCTTCAATGTTTAAGGGTAGTCTCTTCTTTCCAATTAGTATCAGTGTTAGGTTGATATCTTAAGGTGAACTGAAGTTTAAAACCAGTGGTTAATCCCCATTGGTAAAGTTCAGCAGTAAAAAAATCTGTATGTTATTAGACAGATTAAGATTTCTTTGGAAAGATTTAGGGATATAAAAAATGCCATTCAGGAAAAACAGCCAAAACCAGCTGTTTCAGAAGAAGGTATGAGAAATCGTATGTTGGGCAGTTATGGGATAACATGCTCCAGGGAAAACTTTCTTCTGCCTCTTGACAGTAAAAAGTTGATTTATGCTCTGAAGCTGAGGACCTGTATGCCTTGCAAAATTGTTTCTTTTCTTGTATAGTGTATGACTGGATCTTAAACAAATCTGCCTTAGAAATGCCATAATTTTTTTAAATGAAAGTACTTTTTTCAGTCAATGTTATTACCTGAACCACAGGTTACTGCTATGATTAGGATTTTTAAAATATATTTTCCATGCTATTGCCTGTTGCTGAATTTCATCTAAATATTTTATCTATTTTATTTTTAAATGTTTTATTTTGGTTAAATGAAATTGATTTAAATACTGTCATATTTTCATATTCATTTTCACCATTGAGCAGGATTTCCTGACATGAATGCATTTTGTCTTATTGCCTAGGAAATAAAGTTCTAGATTTCTGTGATGTGGGGCAGAAAGAGAAGGACTTGTTCTTGTTGAGCTTCTTGACCCATGATTTACCTGCTTTTTTGCTGCTAGCTACCAGACTCCAACAGTTTTTCTCAAAATTTTAGGTTGGTATCTTCTCTTTTACAGTTTATAGATATAAAGTCAAGGCCTGTGATCAAAACAGGGGTACAGAAGGCCAGCTTCTAGGCTTTGATACTGTCCATTCTGAACTGCAGCAGCAGCACGAAGGGGATGAATAGTTCACCTAACATGGTAACTAGGGAGTCCACTAATATAGGAAAATAAAGTCAACGGAGGTAATTTTATCCCTATTTTTTTCCTTCTTCCTACACAACACAAGGGTATAACACAGACTTCACTATATTCTGATCCCTGATTGGTGCAGCAGTCCATAGTGGAAGGCAAGTGGAAAGAATGTACAGCAGCCCTTATACTGCCTGTTTAGATGCAGGTTTTGGGAACTGGAATGGTGGCTTTCTCTTCCTAATGTCAGGACCCAAACCAAGCAGAGCTCAATGATACGAACTGCCCCTTCATATTTATACTTACACCCCTTTGTTGATGTCCAAATCACACTATTCCTTGGCAGGAAAAACTTTTTAGCTGGCAGGAGTTTTGCCTGAATAAACCACAGTAGAATCAGGTCCATGTAGTTTACCCTATGAGTCAGTGAAATTAAGTAATTTTAATAAAACAGTAATAAAAGTAGCAGCTGACAAATCCTTTGTTTTGGTTTGTGGGCTAGTGAACATGGGTGGAATTTTCAGAAAGCTCAGTATTGTCAACAGCAGTTTTACAAATGACTTCAATGAGAGCCAAGATCAGGAAAGATCAAGTACTTCCAAAAAACTCACCCTAGATAGTTAACCTACATTCTTCACTGATTTGGAATGCGTGACACGACTTTTATCTTTTGTAACTTCATTTCTCAGGATCTATTCCACTGTGAGATCATAATCAGAGCCTTAGAGAACACAAATTATAGATTGCTGTCATTTCAGACATTCTGAGTGCCTTGTGACTCAGAAATCAAGAGAAGGTCAGGGTACATTTTGTAGATAGAAATTAAAGTGTCCTGTAAAGAAGAAATAGCTTGATTACAGGGGGACACTGCCCAATGCCAAAGCTTTCAAAAGGACAGTTTAGATTCTCAGTCCTCTGATTTTTGATATGTTTCTAAGAATTTCCAAAGACTCCTCATTTAACCTACCTCCTAGTAGGTTAGCAGGCAAGCCATGGCAGCATGAAGCTTAACACAGGATAATTTACCTGCTGCTTCTTGGGTATATTAGCCCATGCCAAGTTGTGTTGTATCTTGGGTATCTCTACACTACCTTGTAGTCTGAAGTACAGAGACATACCTTATTACCATAAGCTCATTATGCTATGACAGACCACTTGGGTTCCCCCCAAAAATAAAAGTAACCTTGTGGCAGGCTCTAAAACAAACCAGTTTTACACATGCAGTAGTAAAATAGAAATATTATTCCTCCTGTGTCACAACTCTATGCCTGTCCTTATACATAGAAAAAGCATCTCATGCTAAAACCTGCTTGCATGATGGAAAAAAAAGGCCACATCTTTCAGACTGCAGCAGAGCCAGACCAGGCATTACTGAATCCTTCACACCACTTGTGGAGCCCACAAAGAAAGCTATCATCAAGGAGGAGTACTCCTCCTTGGCCCAGGAGTGAGGAGGGCTATTAGGAAGGCCAAGGCAGAGATGGAACTCAGGCTAGTGTCCAGGATTAAGGACAACAAAAAGTCCTTTTTCAAGTATATTGGGAGCAAGAAGAGGGCACCAGGCAACGTAAGGTCCTTGCAAGACACAAACGGTAATCTTGTGGCTATGCCAGACAAGGAAGGTGATATTTTTAACAGTTTCTTTGCCTCTTTGCCTGTTTTCTTGAACAGGGACCAGGATATCCCACCTACCAGAGGTAGGGACAATCTTGGGGATAGCTCTATCAGGCCTTCAGTCAGCGCAAATGTAGTTAGGGATCTTCTGGAAAGGCTAGACATTTTTAAATCTGCAGGTCCAGATGCCCTCCACCCAAGGGTGTTGAGGGACCTGGCAGGGGTCATCACGGAGCCCTTGGCCCAGATGTATGAGCATTCGTGGTCATCTGGCCAGGTGCCGGGGGATTGGAAACTAGCTAATGTGGTCCCAATTTTCAAGAAGGGGAGGAAGGAGGACCCGAGTAACTATAGGCCTGTAAGCCTCACCTCGGTGCTCAGGAAGTTCTTGGAGAGAATCATCTAGGAGCACATCTGTGGGGGGCCAGCAGGGGAGATCATGCTAAGGGGCAATCAGCATGGGTTCATCAAAGGCAGGTCCTGCCAGACCAACCTGATTGCCTTTTATGACCAAGTAACTAAATCCTTGGATGATGGTGTCACTGTGGACGTAGTCTTTCTAGATTTTAAGAAGGCCTTTGACACTGTCTCTCACCCCATCCTCATCAATAAATTAAG